CAGTCCCACTCTGGCCCTTTAAGCTCTCATGTTTCTGCGCTGGAACAATTTAGTAGCAAGGAGGATTCAGTTACCATGCTTGTTTAAGGACATTTTTGTGGCTCCATAATGCGGTCTGCCGGCAGGCATCCATTTGGAGAGAGAGAATATATCGTGTTTACAGTGCCTGCACCAGCATATGTGGACATTTGCATTTGGAGATGGAAGTATATTCCCTCTTCAGCTGGAGTTTTACCCCTTGTTGGTAGTGCCTGGAGGCTTAAAGCTGGTTGCATGTAGATGAGTGGACCAGATACTCTTACCTCTTCTCTTGAATTCAGACATGTGTTTACATCTGGTCTCTGCACCTCCTCACCAAATTGATGTAATATCAGAGTGCCAGCTCAGACTTACGTTAGCATCCTGGGCTCTGGAAGAGACTTCCTACCCTTCCAAAGAGGCTCTGTGGCCCCATTTTAAACTGAAGGTGGAGAACCATGCTCGCAGAATAATGAAATGCTAAGACTCTGTGTGCTCACCTGGGTATGTAGAGACAACTTAATGACCCCAAAGAGGTAAATCCATTTCACAATGCACATTGCTGCTTGAATCCTTTGACTAGATTGTTCACACTTACTTTCAAATCTGAAAATAAAAATGTTTCATAGCCTAGGACTTCGTCCTGTTAGAGTAATTCTGCTATAGACATTAATTAATAAGCTGTAGCTCAGAAGTATTTACAGAGACAGGGAGCAGTCTGCATAAACAGTGACTCAAATGATGGGGAGCTGGGTTATGGTGGTTTTAATTTGACAACAACTACAAAAAAAAAAACACAGAAAGAAGGGAAAGAAACACACAACTCTCAGTGTATTATTATTATTTGTGACATGGCTTAAGATGGGGGACTGTGAGGAGAGTAAAGATGACAGAACTGGTGCTAACCGCTGTGACAAGAACTTGAAGAGCAGCCGACATGACATCTTTCCTATCATGCTGCCAAAAATGTCAACTTTGTGAAGGACAGTGAGAAAATGGTTTGCCGAAAACTTGAAAGGTGAATTCCAGAGATGCCCGCGTGTCAGATGTGATACAGTCTGCCAGGGCTGTGGAGACCCACTTCTGGCACCAGTGATGGCCTGCAGGTGGGCGAGCTCCCAGTGTTGAGCAAGGCTCCAAAAATGACTGCACTTGACCTGCATATTGTCTCAAGTTTGCAGCATCATGATATACAAGAAGAGAGTTGTTAGCCAGTGTGCAGTTAGGGGGATCTGGAGACTAGGGGCTGCATTTTCATGTGTGTGTGTGTGTGTGTGTGTGTGTTTCTAAAGCTAGTTCAGAGGCATCACAACTACTCAAATTGGAAGCAGGGAGAAGGAGGGGTATCAATATACGTATCAAAAACTAACTTTGGAAGAGTCCAAAGAAAAGAGCTATTATTGGGAGGATGCAAAGAAAGGGAGGGTAGAGCTGGAATCAAAGCAGATCCAGAAGAGTAGGAAGCAGGAGCAAATAGTGGGTATCAGCCCTTAACTGTGTCAGAAGGGCCTGGGAGCCTTACAAATGCAGCTCTGAAATCAAAAACCCCTGACCTATGACGACAGCCTGGGTAAGGCACAGCTGCTGGGACATGCAAGTTCCACTTGTATTTTCTAGCGCCTTTTACCCAATGTGAACATTTCCAAAGACAGCATCCAGAACTTTGAGCTTCGATCACAGTCCAGCTTCAATGTGCAGTAGTCCTGAAAAGGAGCTGACTCTAGACGTCCCTTCAGCATGATGTGGAAGAATACACCCTTTGATTTACTCTCGCCCACAACAACCCAGAGTGTAACTGAGGTCTTTCCTTGCAAAGTCAGGAGCTGTTAGGAAGTGGTGGTGGGTGTTGCGACGTTAAAAACAAAAGGGGCAGAACCTGCACAGTCAGGAAATGAGAGGGTGAGAGATTCGGGCTCCTAGGCTTGTGTTTCACATGAAGACACGTCTCAGTCTAGAATTTTCTAGCTATCTGTTTCAAATCCTTCATCTCTCCTCTCCTCTCCATCTTTGTAACTCCTCAAGTGTGAAAAATATTGAGAGAGGAACAAGATGCAGAGCCAGTTTTATGACAATTATAGAATCACCCCCAAATGTTTCCAAAGAAGAAAAACACAAAAGCATGTCTTCAGAAAGACATCAGTGCAGTTCTGCTATTGCTGTTTATTCTGTAACCAGCACTGCTAGGAACGGCACCTTGGAAATGGTGCAAAGGCCACTTCTAGAATAAGTAAGTGGACCATGTACCCCGTGCAGGTGATCCTCTGGTTCCTGATTCACTACGTAAGGGAAATGGAGAACCCTGGATCAAGTATACTCTTTTAGCTGATGGAAATCACCACTTTTCACTTATTTATTTAGTTATCTGTGGTTGGTTGGTTCTAGAATAGTGACTCTCAAATTGCTGTGCTGGAACCAGTATCGCAAGAGACTTCTTAGAAACACCATTTCTTGACCCCACCCTGCAGCTACTGAATGAGCAGCTCTGGGTTGGGCCTGACATCCAGCTGTCACAAGCCCACAGGTGCCTCTGAGGTATGCTCAATGTTGAGGGCCACTGCTCTAGAAAAATTATTTTGTTGCTTCACTTCTGCGAAAACAGTGTTCCCCAAAATACTCAAGCAGAATTTTTTTTTCAGTTGGCAACTCTACAGAGATCTATCTAAACATGTACAGAAAAGATGAAAAAAATACAGGAGTCAATGGAAAAGAAGTTAATGTTTGACAGAATTTTCAAAAATAATTCTGTGAAATCAAGCTTCTCCCCTCCCCGGAAAAAAAGGATACTTCTGCTTTTTAATTGATACAATTACAACCTGTGATCTTTGACAGATTTTTCTTCCTGACCTGTCTCTCCTTCGGTTTGTAAAACTGCATCCAGTTAGCAGTACCATTCAAAGCACTCGGGCAATTACAAACAAATTTGCATTCAATGTCAAATTTGTGATTTGTTTTATCACCTGCTTTTGCTGGTGAACTTTGTACCACATGCCTTGCAAGCTTAATAAGATTAGTTGGTTTTATTTGTTTTAAAATAAAACTATTCACACCAACCTAGGCGATCAAGGAGAAATTTAAGAGAGTATAGCAACACAAATCATCAGAACAAAAGGAAAAAGACAATCAAATTCTATATTTGTAGTAATATCCTTTGTGGTGAGAATTAACTGAGAGGCTAGACACACCAAATGTTTGATTTTTACCATTTCAAATGCAAATCAAAAAGCTGCCTTCTAATTGCCTTGAAGGGCTTGTTAGGTAATGAATGGATGATTTTATTCATTGAGAGGTTTATCCTCTAGGAATGGCCGCAGACATACTTGCTCTGTCCACATTAAATGGTTTCCATGCTTTGGCTTGTGATCTTTGAGCCCCTTCCTGAACTGTAAATTGTATTTCATAGCATTTTTCTTCAGGTTGATTCCCTACTCAGAAACAAAATTCTTTGGCCCCTGGTCTCCCTCAACAACTGTGTGGGTGTACATTCCAAGCACGTGAACGTGTGTGCAGTGCATCAGCAAACTGAATTTTATATAAACAGAATTGAAAACTACTGCTTGAGTTGTATAGAAGCTTGGGATTTTAGCAAAGAAAGTGTCAGGCCAGGTGTATTTTCTGTGGGCCAGTAAGTTCATCCTGAAATATAAGTACATATTCATGGATACTTCATGTTTTAAAAATGTTTGAAGAGACTTTGTAAGTTAATGTTGGAGATCTGTGCAGAAAATTTGGAATGTGGGGCGTATTCCCAGATTCCACAGCCTACCTGATATATATCATTTTTCTTTTCTCCCCACCTTTAAATTTGGAGGAATGTGAAGAAGTGGACTGAACGAGATTTGAGTGTTTGTGGGTAATTTTTGTCAAGTGAGAGAGGGGATATTTTCTCATTTTTTTTTCAAATAGGGCATTTTTATTATTTAAAAGGAAAAGAAGCTGACCAATTAACCCCTAACAGGAGGTACACTGCTATCCTTCGCCAAGTCTTTTGTGCAGTCAGACTGGTCTGGTATAAAGGATTTTCCCAACTTATGCTGGATCCTTGAGAAGGCCTATAAATAAGACCATTTGTTTGGTCTCAACATGACTTGCATTTGCAAACTGAAGAATGTTCCAATAGAAGTTTCATGGTGACACACCAATCTGCAAACTGGCTCAGCCAGTAGTCAAAACAAGTCAGTACGAGATCTGGGAAGCTGAAATCTTTGAATGGGTCAGATTATCCTGTGTCTAATTTGGCACAGATAAATTTGGGCTATAAATATGCAGCCTCCTTTTATATTTTCAACTTGAATGGCCCGTGATAAATAGGGGAAATGTATATGCACCTACTTGTGACACAGAATAAGCTGCACTCAGCTATGCTGGGGTCCTTCTTTCTTTGACAGTCTGCAATAGTTTGGAAAATAATTTGCAATAGATTGGAAAACATGTTTGTTCTTCAGTTACTACATGAGTGCTTAAATTAACCTGAACATTGGTCATTATAAGCTGGAAAGGGGGCACTTAAGAATGTTTAACACTGGGCAAGACAGACAATTACAAGACCCCTGACTCTCATGGGCACAATACAAGGGTCTAAAACCAGAGCATTTACTGGAGAGACAAGTGATGCCGTTTATAGATGTGGCCCATGTGAATGCCTGCCCCAGCGAAGAAAGGAGTTGGCCGTTGGCTTCCCCACCAGTTCATGCCAGCTGTCGTGAATTTTAAGGCAAGGAGCGAAACAGGACAGGTCTAAGAGGTGGACTTAATCAGCAAAACACTACTTGAGCGTTTGGCAAGGAATGAGCTACGGTTCTGCAGTGTCTCCAAAACAGCCCAGCCCCTTTTGCAGCAAGCTTTGGGTGACGGGGCTTCTCCCGAGGTCACATCGATCACTGCTGTTGCCTCTTCTGAAACGGACAGGTTCCTCCTGCTAGAGATTTGATTTGATGGTGTCAGCATATGAGGTTCCCGTCACTTCACGACATGTCTTCTTTTAGGCCCGATGGAATCGGAACTGTGACTGTTGAAGAAAAGGAACGTTTTGAAGAAATCAAGGAGAGACTCCGGGTTCTGTTGGAAAATCAGATAACACATTTTAGGTAAGGATCTGGGATTCAGGACTTTGGGGGAGGGCAAGACCAGGAAGGGACAGTAAAGGGCCGGATTTTCCAAAGCGAACCCTGTGATATGGTGGTTGTTTAGAAATAACTGGAAAAGGAAAACCTGCCAGACCTGGCTCCATGATCATTAGGAGACTTCATAGTCTTCAGTTCATTTTATTTCTAATTTTAAGAAAGCCTTCTATGTAGAAGTTAACGTTCAGCATCACCCAATTGGAAGAAGCTGAATTTGAAGCTTCTGCAAGGTTCCTAAATAAACAATTTTTTGAAAACAGTGAACAGAGAAGGAAGGCACTGGTACCCACAGGAGGGTCTGCTCATTCTCTCCCTCAGAAGCTGGAGTAGTGGCCACGTGGAGAGAGAGGGAAAGTAGGCTCAGCCTGGCTGGGTCATATCTACTCCCCACACTGGAACAGCACATCCTGATTTGAACCTTAAACCCATATCCCTTTTCTCCCTTGGGGAAAGAATTAGAGTCCTGCTGAGATCCTGAAAGGTTTACACAAATGCAGTAATAACTTTTATAGCCAGTCTGATTTCTGAAACACTCCCTATAGGCCAGACACAGGACTGGAGGCTGAAGAAGTATTAACTTGAGTTTTTATTCTCAGAACAACTTGGTAGGCAGTGATTACCATGCCTTATTAAACAAGGAGTAAAACAGTGCTGAGACAGGTTAAGGAACTTGTCTGGGGTCACCCAGCCTGTGAGAAGAAGTGGGAATGTGCATAGGATAGTCTGAATTTAAGTAGCCCATGGGTCTCTATCTCTTAAATGGTATTTTGCAGAGTCCCTGGCAGCCAAAACAGCCAGTGGAACTCTTGTTTTTCCCTGACGTAGTTCTACCTGGGCTATCATTTACTCCATTTGATTGAGGAGGAACTTAATGGATAGCCCTCTATTGATCATACATGATATTTAAATGCATTAATAATAACAGACAGTCCCATAACAAGGAAAAACTAGAAGCAAGGAAGGACAGTTACCAGAATTAAGAATTTGCACTGAAGACATTCATCTGTTCCACGTGTTAGGGAACTTCAAAAAGTTTGTGGAAAATGGCATCAAAAGATAAGTTTATTCTGGCACCCAAAAAACTGGAAATCTGTGCATATTGGGGGGTCTTCTAAAAGTTGATGGAAGTACATACTATGAAAAAAACTATACCCAGATTTCATGTTTCATTGCATCAAAATAAACTCATGTTTTAACATTATAGAATGTTCTTCCCTGAACTTACTGAAGTTTCATTATATGAGTCGTATGGAGATTTAAGTAAGTGTGTTTGAATTTCAGCCTGTTTCAACTTTTTTTTTTTTAAGTGCTGGTCTCTATAAAAGCACGGAAGGTCTCGTTTGAGCTAACCAATAGTTCTCCTTCACAATAGAAGTCTAAACACAGCCTTATGTCATCACTCTAAATATTCTTTGCTGCTGCAGACATTTGCAGAGTCCCTCTTTAGTCATTATTCACACATACACATATATACATTATATACACACATATATGGTGTGAATTCAGATTAACATAACACAACGTGACAAAATAAAAAGCATTTTCCATTCCTCAGAGAGAGTTGCTATAGGAATCGAATTGAAGCATATTTCTTGCTAAAATGTAATCGATTTGGGCAACCTGAAGAATTCTGTGTCTTTTTTAGGTATTGCTTTCCATTTGGTCGACCTGAAGGTGCTTTAAAAGCTACTCTCTCGCTCTTGGAAAGGGTAAGAAAGAAAGTAAAAGACAGACTACATATATACATGAACATAATTTTATTAAAATCCTGTGATTGAATGACCTCATTTATAATTTTTAAAGAATACGTTTACCATTCATCAAAGTGAAGAAACTATCAAAATTGTAGATGTTATCCCTAGACTCTCACATAGGATGCAGTGGAAATGTGTTCTTAGCCCTCCTCTGATTGGTGGAGAATTGGTGGACAGGCTTTGCTCTCCTAACTGTACCCTGTAATTCTGGTACTTTCTGTTTGACCAGGATTCTCTATCAGGATTAAGATAGAAGAAAGTAGCTGGTGCCGTGGCTCACTTGGCTAATCCTCTGCCTGCGGCGCTGGCACCCCGGGTTCTAGTCCCAGTTGGGGTGCCGGATTCTGTCCCAGTTGCTCCTCTTCCAGTCCAGCTCTCTGCTGTGGCCCGGGTGGGCAGTGGAGGATGGCCCAGGTGCTTGGGCCCTGCACCTGCATGGGAGACCAGGAGGAAGCACCTGGCTCCTGGCTTCGGAATGACACAGTGCGGCGGCCGTAGCAGCCATTTGGGGGGTGAACCAACAGAAAAAGGAAGACCTTTCTCTCTGTCTCTCTTTCTCTCTCTCACTGTCTAACTCTGCCTGTCAAAAAAAAAAAAAAAAAAGATAGAAGTAGGCATTCACAACTGATTTTAAATGTGAACTCTTTGAGAAGTATAAATGAGGGACAGATTTGTCTGAGTCTTCTTAATCATCCCTTTCCTTTTCTTCCTGAAGGTTTTGATGAAAGATATTGTCACCCCAGTGCCACAAGAAGAGGTAAAAACAGTCATTCGCAAATGCTTAGAGCAGGCTGCTTTGGTCAACTATTCAAGGCTCTCAGAGTATGCCAAAATTGAAGGTAAGGCACTCTTCTGTCCCCAGCTTTGAACTTAAATTTGAAACGCATCCCTGGGGAAGTGTGTTTTTTATCTGATGGGCATCAAAAAACATTGGTCCAGCTGAATATGTTAGGCTCACACTGAAAGTGCTTAAAAGGTAGACTGGCCAAACTGATGAATTAAAGGACAGGAGTTCAGGAAACAGCCTTTGTTGGAATAGTCAATACAGGATGTTACCAAATACCTAAGGCCCTACCAAGAGTCTGTATTGGTCCAAAGTATCTGCTCCGTGGCTGATGTTCTCCTGTGAAGAGTTCTGTAGGTTGCTACATTCTTTAAGTTGAGGAAAGCGGAACACTCTCTTGTCCACTGCTGATAGCATTGGCAATAAGACGAGAAATGAAGAAAACAGCCTCAGTGCTCTGCTTGCCTCTTTCTCACCCCTTGAAAGTATTTTGGCATTTGGTAGTGTTTTAAACTGGATGGCAGTTTAGTGCTGAGCCATCTCCAGTGGCTCCGGGTTGGCCTTGGGTCACAATCCTATTTGTCACTCAAGACCTAGGGTGCTAGTTTACATTCTCCCACTGAATTAGTCACTGATGAGCAAATACCACCCACAAGGCACTTTGAGTAAACTCTAGTGAAGAAAGCATGGTTCTTTGGGACCTATTCATTCACAAAGATATTAATCACTTCTCATTGTTACCCTGTTGGCTGCTGTAGGGTGATTTGAAAACCACACCCAACATGACCAGTGGTGTAAGTGTATAAATGTGGAAGTTCTGTGTGCAAACTTGATGTGTCTGCATTCTGGAATCTGATGTTCTCTCACATGGGAAACATGACACCTGACTAAAACCGGTGATTGTACAATGTCTGTGTCAGGATATGACTAGGAAAAAAAAAATGAAACTGAAAACCAAAAACTAACCAACCACCCAGACCTCATCATTTCCCCTGCCAAAGTCCTTGTTTCCTTAGAGAGTTGAGTTTAAGATTGTGTCAAATTTGCAGTGTTCTGTATAATAGGTGTCCTCCCTCTCAATTTTTGTCTGTCTGACAATGCAAATTGTGTACCAGTGGTAATGAATTCATTGTTATGCATCCAGGAAGAAACACTTAAGAATTGGGCACTAAAAGGATGTTTTATCAACTCTTGACTTGGTAATGAGTGACAAAAATAGAGGAACAAGAAGATTGTTAAAGGACTATATCAGCAAATAATTGTTCCAGCATTCACTGTCCCAGGACATAATGATTGGTTGCATTCGATAGAGTTGACCCGGTACCTAATAATTCTAGGCAAGCCCAGAGATGGGATGGGATCAAGAAACGTTTGATGGCCATGGCTGCTGCCTCACAGGTCTTGTTCTAGCTATTATGAGTCTTTTGGTAAGATCTGCTCTCTTCTTTCAGATAAATATATCCAAAAACAAACTTTAAGATCTGTAAGTAAAAATGCATTCGTTTCCAAAGTAGATCAGCTGGTCTGTAATTTCCTTTTGTGCCTCAATTCTTCTTGGTTGTGTTAATTATCTTTTGCACTGTGACTTTTAGGTCTGGGGATTCTTTGAAGAAACCAATCCTTTTTTTCCAACTCTCTTTTCAGAGAAGTACCTCATTCCACACTACCTGCTCTCTTCCGCTTCTCTCCTTCTTTGTCCGTGATTGGCTCAGCCACTTTTTGACGTGACCTCTGCAAAAGTGGCTGAGACATCAATTTCAAAGCATGCTGGGATTGTTAATTCAGACAACCCAACATCCTCTGGCTGCATGTATCAGGTTTTCTTTCATGAACATAGTCCACCATAGGCTGGGATCTTGCAGCTCGAAAGATATTACTACCAGACAGCTTTCTTTTTACAAGGCTCTGATCCTACTCTCAGAAAAGAAATCTTCCATTTTTTATATTTGAGCCCCTCTCTGAGTATTATCAGCTTAGTTATCTGAGAATCTCAGAAAGACGTTGTAGTAATATTGCTGGAGACTATGTTTATGAAGAAATACCTCAAGAGCCTTAGATACTAAAGTCTGAAATCCTTAGTATCTTGGAGCCTTAAATCAATGAAATTCTGTTTCCCTTTACTCATGATGTTTTTGGTCATTGTATTCTTGCAAACAGCTCTAAAGAGACGTGTAAAATCATGGTCACAATCTCTCTCGTGACTCACGGCATGCTGAATGGTTAATCCAGTAGATCTCCAATTTGGAAGCTCCTTTTTCTTTTATCCTGTGTTTATCCCAAAATACTCTGTGGCTATTTTCCTTTGAGCTAATGTAACGTTTTCCTCTAACCTGTGACCTTTAACCTCTTTACCTCTGACCTAAGCCTCTTGCATGCCCAAATCCTCTTTTATAGGGAAAAAGAGAGAAATGTATGAGCATCCTGTCTTCTGCTTGGCCTCCCAAGTGATGGATTTAACCATTCGTGAGTACCTACCACCTCCTCACCATGCTGTCTTCACTCTCTCTGTTTTCATTATCTCAAGAAAATCCAGATCCAAACCAACTCACTCTCCTTGCTTCAAGTTTTATAGCATTGGCTTGTCTGTTGGTTCTGTCTGTGAAACCCAGTGTGAGAAGTCCAGTCACTTTTTAGCAACCTAAAAACAGGTTAGACAATTAAGCCATTTGTTTGTGATAAACTCAGATTTGTCTGTAAGTTTTTCAGTTTTTCTCTGTCTGTGACCTGAATGCATTTTTACTTTGCTTGTGTGTAACCCCAATTTGTAAAGTGCTTGTCACTGGTACACAATCCAAAGGTAGCAGCTAGGCTGGGGAGCAATGTGTTAGGTGTCACATTTGAGGCAAAGTCATGCCTTCTTTCCCATGTTTACGATGTCAAATGATTATGGGTGTGAGATCGCACGAGGTGGTCCATTCTCTGTAAAATTTAGAACTTAGATGCCTCCTGTCTGTTCTCTCTCAAGCTGAGAAGCTTTCCCTTGTTCTCTCTGGAGATTTTGATTTGTCCTTGTCCTCTAAGCTCTGGCTAGAACATTTGACTTAATTGTCACTTGGAGAGTTTGTGTATGTTTCATAGCTTGATTTCACATTAAACTTAATTTTACTAATTTTCTATTTGTGCAGCACTTTCCACCTCCGTGAAGGAGCCTTTTTTTGCTGGCCCCCACACTTCGGGGCGGTGGGAACCCAAGGGCAACTTTTTCTTTCCAATGTCATGTATCACACATAAGTGGGGGGCATTTTGGTCCACTTGCTCATTAATCCTGCATATGTGTTCTTGTTTCTCTCTCTTCTCTCCTTGTTGTGCTCTCTCTTTCAAATAGAGAATCAGAAGGATGCAGGTGAACCAATTGTATTTGCATTATAAATTATCAGGACTGTTGAGTTATATTCAGTTTTTTTGTTTCTGTTTTTGTTTTTAATAGCTCCTTAAGTTATGTACTCCCAGTGAGCGATGTGGAGTTGCAATAATACTTAAGGAGTTAATTTGTGCTGTCTAAATGCATCTCATGCCCATTCAATGTTGACCTTTATAGAGCAGAATTTCCATAAAGGCATAAGCTTTCAAGGAACAGAATTCTGGTTTGCTGCAGAGTTTCATTTCATCTCTCATTTCAGGATGCCAGTGATAGGGCCTCATGAGCATTTTTTTTTTCCTGAAGTTCCTGAGCCAAACGAATGTTCCTTTCTGTTTTTCATTTCTCTTTTCTGTTTTTCTGCCCCCTTGAGAATTTTGTGTTCTTTGATGAATGTTTATTGGCCCAGACAGAGAGAAGTTGTGTCCGTGTGTTCTCGTGTGTGTTGTGTGATGAAGCAGGAAGCACAGACAGGGTGACAGAACCAAGCTTGTTCGTGGAAACTGTCTAAGAGGAAAGCTCTTGGAGAGATCCCTGGCTTTGGAAAATTTCTTCTGGTTTGGTCCCCAAATTTCTGAACTTATTTCGAAGAGAGTTTTGACTTAAAACTTTCCTAAATGTATAGTAGTGATCATTGTTTTTAAGATCTAAGGAATTCCTAAAAAATGGTGATCATGTCTTCAAGGTTAATAGCTGAGTGCATTCAGACAATTCAGAAAGCATTTTTGACTTTGTGCCAAGCACAGGATTAGTGGTGCATGTATTTGAAGACTCCCAAGCCTATATTCAAGACAGGTGAGACTTCCTTTCCCTGAACAGGAAGACATTCATTTATTCACTCATTCATTCATTCATTTAGTCACTGAACAAGTGCTTAGTAGGAGCCTACTCTGTATAAACCAGAGGAAAACAGCTGTTAGTCCTTTGAAACATTTGTGTAAATGGTGCCTATGTGTGAAGTCCAAGTTCACTGCACCATAACGTCTGCTGGTAGAGTTAAATATAAGAGGAATAGGATAGTGTCAGAAAATCATGGAAATCAACTTATCTACTCAAGGTGATAAGGCTCAAACTGCATCTTTTTTTTTTAAAAGATTTATTTATTTATTTGAAAGAGTTACATGGAGAGAAGGAGAGGCGGAGAAAGAGAGAGGGAGAGGGAGGGGGGGGAGGGAGAGAGGGAGGGAGGGAGGTCTTCCATCCGCTGGTTCACTCCCCAAATGGCAGCGATGGCCAGAGCTGTGCCAATCCGAAGCCAGGAGCTTCTTCCAGGATCTCCCATGTGGGTGCAGGGGCCCAAGGACTTGGGCCATCTTCTAGTGCTTTCCCAGGCCATAGCAGAGAGCTGGATCGGAAGAGGAGAAGCCGAACTAGAACTGGCACCCATATGGGATGCCAGCACTGCAGGCAGTGGCTTAACTCACTATGCCACAGCGCCAGCCCCTCAAACTGCATCTTGAAAATTAATTACAGCCAGTTAAGGGGAACTGGAATTGAGGAGTAGAAAGATATATTAGACAGAGAGTAATGTATGTACATATGGAAAACTGTGCAGTTAATAAAAGTAACTAAGGTTTACACAGTGTGTAATATGTGTCAGTTGTGATTAAATTCTTGCTATGTATTAATTCAGTTAACCTTCAAAACCCCTTATGTGAGAGATATTGTTCCCATTTTGAAGCTTAGCAAACTGAGGC